GGCGACATCCTTTGTACAAGGATGAGTTCACTTAACCTGAAAATGGAGAAAACAGTAAAACTCATCTCACTAAATTGTGAAAATCAAATGAAACAGCATGCATAAAGCATTTAAACAGTGTTTGGCACGTAATAAATGCTCAATAGAAATAAAAATCAATAAAGACATTCATACACTACTAGTAGGAGTATACATTAGGACAATTACAGTCATTTTGAAAATGATTTAGAGGTATACATCAAATTTAAACATATGTAAATTATGACCCAACAACTTCACTCCTAAGTATATGTTTCCCTCAAAGCACACATATTAATGATCTTTCACTGCATAACAAATTCAATATGAAAATATGTCTCAAATTTAGAAAAGTAGCACACCACAGTCAATGGGCCATCTGCAAGTCAGATGAATTGTGCTCTTTTAGGTCTTTTGAATTTCATGCTCTGTCGAGACAACTATAAACACATTTTAACCTTAAGAACTGATGGTCATCATTGTATTACAGACCTGAGATTTTTATCAAGACTAAACAAATTGTAACTATGTAAACCAACATGTTGTTTTTCCCCACTGCAGATAATCTTGAGACTGATTTAAATGCAACATTTCTCAACTTTTTGCAATTTTGACGTTAACTTCCCCCTGTCTCTTCTCTTTTGATCACTTCCCCATCTCTTGTCATAATAATAACTGCATTGTGCAACAAAGTTTAATTTCATCCTCAAGCTTGTTAAAGGACACATGAATTAGAGGAAAGGATATTGGATTAACAGTAATGGAGAAGCTAGGCACAGTGTTGTGTGCCTGTAATCCCAGTGACTTGGAAGCCTGAGGCAAGAGGTTCGCAAATTTGAGGCCAGACTCAGCAACTTAGTGAGAACCTGTCTCAAAAATTAAATTATATAAATAAATAAAAGGGCTGGTGATGTAGCTCAGTGTTAAAGCACCCCAGGTACAATCCCCAGTACCAAGAAATCCGAAAGATTAATGGAGAAGAGAGTAAAATGAGGATATGTGCATCTGAAAAGAACCTTCTTTTGGATGCCAAAGAAGTCCACTAATTTCCCGTTGTAACGTATTCACCAGCAAGCTTTCCAGTCCTGCTCCTATTTCAATTCTAAGAGCTGGATGTTGGGGGAAAAGCTGGAATTATGGAATTTTGTATATAACATGATGCCTTTTGGTCTGATCATGTTGAAAAGCTACTTGGGGATGGACATGAGACCACAGATGAGACCACAGACAGGGTTGGCAATTGGAAGATGACCAGAGGATGCTGTTTCTTTCTTTTATAAAATTAAGGCCCATTGGGGAAAAACGCAAAAAATATTTTGGCCTGGACTCTTCTATGTTCCATTATGGGAGTCTAAAATTTGAACCTATTGATCAACTTTATGCATTTTTCTTTCAAATGGAACTTTACTGGGTAATTTTAGCTATGAATCACAAAGAATCTTCAATATCAGTGTCTATAGAATGAAATGGCTGAAACAGGAATGAAGAGAAAACGGTTTACCTGGGTGGTATATAAATGGAAGTACCCTGAAGACCTGGCTATCATTATTATATTCAGAATTCTGAATAAAAAGCTGCATAGTTTGTCATATGCTTTGTGGCATAGGAGTCTAAGGTGTTTCCAAATAAGCATTTGGAAAGAAACAGAAGACCAACAAAGTTTGTTCTGGGATTTCAGATCAGACTAGATGGAATACAGCTTGGATGCAACCACTGAAATTTAATGGGAGCTGTGAAGGAATCTCTGCACTGGGGCAAATCCATACAGCTTTTAGTAGCCTTCTGGTGAGCTCCACTTACGTTTATCAAGAGGTTAGTAGGACAGTGCACAGAGGCTACCAGAAAGTGAGTTCTGTCCTGCTTCCTCTTGATCCTCAAAGGAGTACTTATGTGAACCACATGTTGTTCAAAACTGTTATTTAAAAGACACTTTTGCACTTAGTTACTCTAAAGATGAGTGAAGATTACAGTTGTCTCTGTATCTTCAGGGATTGGTTCTAGAACCTCCTGTGAGTACCAGTATCCACGGATGCACAATTCCCTTATGTAAAATGTGACCCCATGTATGTAACCCGTGCACATCTTCCCATGTATTTTAAATCATCTCTAGATTTGTTATCATGCCTAATAAAATGTTAATGTTAGTTCTATGTAAATAGTTGTACTGTATTGTTTAGGGATAATAACAAGAAAAAAATCTGTACATATTCAGTACAGATGCTTTTTTTTTTTTTTGGTGAATATTTTCTGTCTCTGCTTGTTTAAATTTGTGGATGAGTAACCCATGAACTCAAAAGGCTGACTCTACGTGTAACAAAGTTCTTATATCAAAAAGAGTAAGTGCTCTAAGTTATATCACTAATACATACAACCACTGTTTCTTGTGCTTTAAAGAGATTAAATCTTCCCAAAATACACACCTAATTCAACAAAGGAATGATGATTTTTAAGACTTATGTTCTGTAGATGGGGAATAACCACCATATTTTTTTGATAATTGACTTAATTTGAAATTTGGATGAAAAAAATTTCAGGTCATTATCCATTCATAGAATATTATAGGTTATAGGATTTTTTAGCTATTTCAAAGGATATTTTCCATAATGTCTCAAAATAAAATTAATTGTTTTAGGACAACAATTATAGAGCTCCTATAGAGTATCAGGAACTACTCCAAGAGCTGTGAATTATATTTATATATAAATATATAACTCACATATATATATATATTGTGAGTTATATATTTAAGCCTCTATATATCCCGAGGAGGTAAGAACTATTCTTATTCCGATTTTACAAAGGAGGAAACTCAGACAGACAGAGATTCGAGAATTTAAACAATATCACACAGCTAGAATTAGAAGATCTGGGGTTTGAATCCTTCTATCTGTCCTCAGAGCACATGTGTAATGCTTCAGTAACATCCATCTATGCAGTGAAGCGTTTTCATTGTATGCTTCTGGGCAGGCGCCGGACACAAGATGATGGCTGCTCAGTACCACATGTCTCGAGGCTGGTGCTTCGCTGCTCTGTGGCCCTTTCAGGATGCAGGAACTTCATGGATTATTGTACCACTTTGGTCTCCCTGCTGGTTTATTTTTTAAAATGTAATGTCTTTATTGAAATATAATTCACATAACATACAATTCACCCATTTAAAGTGTACAATTCAATGACTTTTAATATATTCACAGAGTGTATAACCATCAATATAATCTGTTTTAGAATATTTTCATTGCTCATAAAAGAAACCCCATACCCATGAGCAACCATTCCCCACTCTTCCCTCCTCACACCTCACCTCCCAACAAGAACTAGTCTGCTTTCTGACTCTATGGATTTTCCTGTTATGAATATTTCATATAAATAGAATCATATAATATGTGACTTTTTGTATCTGACCTCTTATTATGAAATTTTCAAGTGTCATCCATATTATAGCATGGATTAGTTCTTTTTATTATTGAACAGTATTTAATTGTGGGAATTTACCACATTTTACATATCCATTCATCACTTGATGGAAATGTTTCCACTTTTTGGCTATTATGAATAATGATACTGTGAACATTTGTGTGCAACTTTTTGTGGGGGTGTGTTTTAATTTCTCATAGGTATATATAGTGGAGATGCTGTGTTTATGTTTAATCTTTTGAGGAATTGCCAGACTGTTTCCCTCTTTGCTTCTTGAAGTGCTCTTTAGCTCACTGTTTTTGCAAAAGTGACTTTGCTTCTCTTAGAGGCAGCTTGGAAAGCAAGAATCCTAGATGTTGTCTTCAATATCCGACATCTGGTTTACTATAAATAGTGACTTTCAGTAACAGAAACCAAATGGAAAGCTTAGAGTAACCTTGAGTAATTACCTCATTCCTTCTTAAGTCTTTTTAGGAGAATATGAAACAAATTTAATACATGATGGTAACAGTAATAGTTAACATCTGTTAAAAACCATAGGTGTTCCAGGCACTCTATGAAGTATATTACATGCATTTTATCATTCAACTTTACAACTACTAAAATGTTTTAGAATCCTTCCATTCTAGGATTAAAAAATAACCATAAGAATGACAGACAGCCATAATTCTATCTGTATTGATAACTAGGTAGTGGGAGGAAAGATTTAGCTTGAAGAAAAAAAAAAAACCTAAAACAAAAAGATGAACTCCTCTAAAAGGAAAACTATTAAGAAGAGATTTAGCTAGATCAAAGATAGTTTCATTGAGGGTTTATCAGGAACAGGAAATAGAGTATGTTACTGTCCTCATTTCTTCTGGGTATGGGTGCTCACGACACTGTTAGGGTTTACATTTTCTATAGGTACATACAATTTGTTGCCAACAAAGTACTATAGAGGTTAATAAATATTAACAGAAAAGAAAAGAGGAACTGTTCTAATACAACATATTTATTGGCTGTTGTAAAAAGTTTTCCTGTTGCAAAGTGCCCATCTGTTGCTGGGTATGAAAATCCATTTGAATGTTTGTTTACCAACCCACTTCAGACACCAGTGAGTAGGCAAAGTTAAACAAACAAAAACAAGAAACAAACATTATGTGGTATTTTGCCTGTGATATGTTTAAAGTAAAAGTGGGAAAAAATAGAGTAAAAAATGGGTAATTTATATATATCATAATAAACGAGGGCCAAATTATGGCTGCAAAAACCACTGTTTATAAAGAATGACTATAATTCATATGGTATGACGTTTCCTATTCAAAGAGTTATATATCAGAGAATGCACAAGTAGACTTCTTCCTAGAAATAAAAACCAAACTGATTATTTTTCTTCAGTACATTTGATAAAAAAAAAAAGACAAATAATGAGTGTCTAATTGAAGAGTGTCTTGTGTTGATTCTGATTTTGTGTAAAGTTGGCCCAATTTCTCATTTGGAATAAATTCTGAATACACAACTACAAAAAAAAAAAATCAGAAGCATTATTTTCAATGAACTCTAAATTGCCCTTAGAATTGAAGGCCCTGGGAAGATTTTATCCTACATTCTGCTTTAGTCCTTAGGAATCAGTTACCAGCTGCTTGCAGTCATTTTCACTCCTTGGGAAAGACTAGATCTTTCTGTTTAGCAACCAATCCAGGAGCTGGATTTCACCACACTAACCACATCTTCCTTCTCTGTATCATACTTGTATGTTTTGGGTCCTGAAAAGAAGTAAATGTGGCCTAAAAGAGATAAAGTTGAAATTGTGGTTACTGACAATGACATAAAGATATAAAAATGGGAGGATTTGTAATTACAACTTTCTTGAGGGGCCGCCAATGGAGAATTGGGTGGGAATCTATCAGGTGGCTTGTCTTGTGCATGGCTCCCATGCCCTAGGACCTGACACTTCTAACTTCTTAGCCATCTTATATCTTACTCTTGCTTCCTGGAACAGTAAAGTATCATCTTTGGGGTCCTCCAACAAACCATCCTCAGTTATGCTTTGTGCTTTTGTTCAGGCTATTCTCTTCAAAGAAGCCCTCTCTCCGTTCCTCTCCCTAGTCAAATCTCTACCCAATCTTCAAAACTACCATGAAATCTCCAATTACTGCTGCCGATTCTAATATTTTTTTCCTCAGATCACCTCTTTCAATTTTATGAGGTCTACTAGGTAAGTTAATACTGAATAATAGACTATCTTATTTTCCAGTAATTTCATCTGTTTTGGGTGAATAGATGTTTCCTGATGATGCTAATAATTCTGTGAGAGCAGAGGCCATGTCTGGAACTATTTTTGCATTTCTGAATAATGTCCAGTTCTGTTCTCACATTCAAGAGGAATGTGTCGACTAAATTTAATCAACTCAGTTCATTAAACTTTCCTAGCTATGTATTAAATTTCAGGAGTTGGCTAATGGAAGGGGGGAAGGCACTGGGAAGACTGAGACTATGTATTTTAAAGATGAAAAAGGTAATCTGGACCTGGGCAGACTTTATGATCTAGCTGACACATCAACTGAAGCTATCTGTACTTCTAAACTTTTCATTAGTAAAGACAGAACTGCAATGGTCTTTTCCAATTCCTCTTTCTAGTGGATAATCTGGTGATCTAAACATAGAGAAGTACCCAAGACCAAAAAATAACAAATGACTCCTATTTGGAAACCCATTTTCTGTTCCATTCAAGCAAAGCCCAGATTTCTTGTTATGATTTCTACAAAGAAAAATTTTCAGTGAAAATATTTACCATTTAATTCCACAGCAGCATCTATTTGGCCACTAACTCCTGAAAATTCTTCTTCAGTATTTTTTGGGTAGTCTTTATCCATTTTCCTTTTTCGTTCATCATAGCTGAAAGGAGTATTTAAAAAATATTAGTAATTAGAGATTTTTCTTGGTTGTGGATGATGGCATGTTTAGCCAGGGCTGAGTTATGACTTGTTTTAGATGACACACATACCTGCTTGCTCTCTCTGTGAATTTCTTGGTTCACTAAACAATTGAAAGCCTTTTATTGGGGCTTTAATTCATGGAGTTAGCACTATATACTCCTGGAGAAAGGATTCAACAAATAATGTATATTGAATGAATAAATGATTGTGTGAACATTCATCAAATAAGAAGCAAGAAAATCTGTAATAACTGAGCCTCTGCCTTTTAAATCAATTTAATTGAATTCCATTGCTTTTGTTTGCTGGAAAAATTATGCACTTTACCAAACAGTAGATTAGGTTTCCTTCTCTGGATAAGTAACCACCATTGAATGATAATTGTGAAAACTGGTTACTATATCTCTTTGTGATCTAAATTATACCATATAAAAAAAAAACACTGTGACCCATATGAGTCAGTGTGACTATATGAGTTCAGCATTAGGAAGAGATGACTCTCACCTCTTTAGTGAGACTTTATTTAACATGTGAGAAAGTCCCTTCCTATTTAGCCCAGAACTCCAAATGGGGACATTCCCAGGTGTACATCTCAATCTTTTTCCACCAAAAGGTCAAACAATTTTTCCTGGGCTACTGGGTAGTTTTTTTTTTTTTTTTTTTTTTTTTTTTGTGGCAGCAGATTATGCCCACCATCTCCTGAAATGTGCCTTTCATGTGGCTCTGGATGCATAGGCCAACGGACAGATCTTTCATGATACTGAGCAGGAGTCAAACTTTAGGAAAGAAATATTTAGCTGAAATTGACTAGGGATTAAGCAGCTTTTTGGAATGTTGGGATGAGGTACGGAAGCTAATTCTTCCAACACATTGACTGTAGAATGTTAATATTTCATTTAAACCTTTTGTATAAACACTTCAAACTCAGGGGCCTATGTAACTAATACAAGGTTGCTATCTTTTCATTTACCAACTAAGAAAAATACTATCAAGTCATCAAAAAAAAAAAAAGCCATTACTACCTGTCTTCATTATCATTTTACAAAGAAAAGAAACTAAGTCACCAAAAAGGTAGAAGGGACAGTATGAGACAATTCTTGCTAATAATCTGTCTTTATGTTCACAGAGTACACCTCCATATATTTATTAATATTGTGTATAATATTGTGCTTTTTTTTCTGTGAACTAGTGTAAACTTTGTGATGCTCTAACCCTTTGTTTGTAGAGAATTCTGTTAGATGGCTTTGGGTTTGAGTTTGACTCTCATCTGCTGGTTCTGTGATTAGGATAATGTACCCTGTGCTCTGAGCCCTGGTTTCCTCATCTGGAAAACAGTTAGCCATGAGGATAAGAGACAATGTGAACATGTGTGTGCACACACACCACGTGCCTGGCTCATGTGGCATCCAGGACAGACCTCAGCCATAGACTTTGTGATTTATTTTGACTCCGACAACCATTAATTCTGACTTGTTAGTAAAAGACTGAGTGGACTTTGTGATTTGACCTGGAATCTTAAGTCATTAATACATTTAATCTTTAATCTTCCTTTCTTTTGTTTTTCCTATTTTTTCTTTCTTTCTCTTAATCTCTAAACACACTTTATCAGATAGCATTATATACAGTTGTAGGCAAGGTTGAGAAGAGGTGGAAAAAAGGTGAGTAGAAGAGGTTAGAGGTGGTCCAGAAAACATAACCTTTCCTGAAAGCACATGCACTGTTGTGTTGAGATTTTTTTCTCCAGGAGATAGAAGAAAAATTATGGGGAATGAGGTTAATCAAATTATGTTATGAATATGGCCTAATGAATCCAACAATTATATATAATTATAATGCATAAATAATTTGTAATGCATAAAGAAAAAAATTAAATAATAGGTAAGAATCATGGACATTTTGGCATTAAGTGGGGAAGAGAACTAAAGAATGAATGTATGTGAAGGCTCTTTATATTATGGATTCAAAAGACATGAAATACAGCTTCAGATAGCCTTTTAAGCTGTGTGATCTTGAGCTAATTATGCAACTTCTCTTAGACACAAAGTTTTTTACTATAAACAGAGCTAACAGTCTGTACTTTTCAAGATTGTTCAAAGGCAGATGGGAGAGTGGGAGATTATAAGAGAATATGAGAAAACACCTAGCATGATTCCTGACACACACAGGAAATCATCAATTCATATTGGCTGAATTGAAATATTGAAGAAATATTTTTTATTCAGAATCTTTTATGTGCTAGGGATCTGCCAAAATAATTGCATACATTTTTTCATTGAGCTCTTTATGTGAGATCTAAATATCAAACTAAAACTCACAATTTGCAACTATGTTTATTTCCTTTATAAACATTTGTTTAATTTTGATTAAAGGGTATCAATGTTAAACAAATCATTGCTGATTTAAACTAGTTAACCTTTTTCCAGTGATATAATAGTGCCACATGTATATGATGTAGTTTTTTTATCCTACTCTGCACATTTGTACAAGTCTAAAGACTTAGGGACAATTTTGGTCTAGTGCTTGCTGTTTTGTACGTGCAGAACTTAGATTTGTTAGGCATTTCTGATGGTTTGATTGTGAAGATTTCTATCATATGTCAATGACCTACCTGCTTCCACCTGCCTCCTTTGAAGGACTACATGTAGAATTCAGTCAGGTATAGGATGCTTAAGGAGAATATCAGAACAAATGGTAAAAGGGGATTTAGGGACAAGGTATCTGAGATATTTTCAGGAAGTTTCATTAAGGTGAACTTTCCTGTGTGAGTCAATGATACAGAAATCTCAAATTTCCCTTTGAAGTTATTCATTAACTTCTAGCCAAGAAACACATGGCTTTCATGGAGGAAGGGGCCTTTGTGGTGTATACTAGGGAAGAGTCATGGTGAGAGTGATCATGACTGAAAAGAAGGCAGGAAAGTGAGAAGCTACCTGTGCCATCCCAGATGAAAGCCAGAAAACAGGACCCCATAAGGAAAATGACAGTGAGAAGTTTCTGGACTGAAGCATTTGTAACAATACAGAAAAATATCTATGCATAATATTAAGGTAAAAAAGTCAGGTTATAAAGCTATATACTTCAATATTTTAAAATGAGGAAAAGGGGCTGAGGCTATAGCTTCGTTGGTAGAATGCTTGCCTTGCATGCACAAGGTCCTGGGTTCAGTCTCCAGCACGTGCACACACACACATGCACACACACACACAAAATAAAAAATAAAAATAAAAATAAAAATGAGGAAAAACCCCTGGGGAAAAAAATGGAAGAAAACAATACAAATGGCTGTCAAAATATGTAGCAAATGTTGACAATTTGATAATTCCTTCTCTTTTATGTTTTCCATGTTTTCAATAGTACACATCACATGCTGTCCTTTTGACCCCTTCTTTCTGGGCAGCCTTATACTCTCATATGGTCTCAGTTAACCACCTGATTATACAGTGAATTCTAAAATGATCTCTCTAGCCTGAGTCCCCTTGAGCTGAAGACCTATAAGCCCAACTCTCGCCTGGATATTTCCATTCTGGGATCTCACCAGCATGTACGAAATGGAGCTCCTCTTTATTTTCCTGATTCTGCTGCACTTCTCAAATTTGCTACTTAGGTAAATGTCAAAATCAAAAACCATTTATCAAGGACATAATTCCCAACTAGTCGGTTACAAACACCTAAGTTTCTTGTTGCTTGAAAAGAAGTCAGGTTTATTCCTTATCCCCAAACTCATCCTCCTGGGATGGTTCTTGCAATAGTTCATGCTTTCTTTCTAACAATCCAATAGGTTTTATTTTTTTTTTGGGGGGGTGGTGGTGGTGGTGTACTGGGATTGAACCAGGGGCCTCCTCACTGAGCTACAATCCCAGCCCTTTCATATTTTTAAATTTTGAGACAGGGTCTTGCTAAACTTCCCAGGCTGGCTTCAATTTGTAATCCTCCTGATTGAGATTCCCAAGTCACTAGGATCGTGGGCATGTGCCACCGCACATGGCAATAATTCAATAGTTTTTTAAAATATATTCACAGAACTGTGTTTCATCAACACAATCCACTTTAGAATATTGTCACTGCCCCCAAAAGAAAAATCATGCTTTCAGTCATCAATCCTTACTTTCCCCACCACTCTCCACGCCCACTCAGCCTACCCAGCCCTAGACAATCACTAGTCTACTTTCTGTCTCTTTAGACTTGCCTATTCTGGACATTTTATATAACTGGAATCATATGTGGGTTTTTTGGTGACTAACTTCTTTCATTTAGCATAATCTTTCAAGATTCATGACTATTATAGCATGTGCCAGTACTTCACTCATTTTTATGGCCACATAATATTCTATTGTATGAATTTATATATATGCCTATGAGTGAAATTCTGGATCAAACGGTAATTGTAATTTTTTCAGAAACAGAAAATAATTTTTCAAGTGGCTGCACTAATTTACAGTCCCATCAGCAGTTGTATGAGGGTTCTGATTTCTGGTTTGTCCATATTCTCAATCATATTTATTTGAAATTTTGATTATAGCATCTTAGTAGGTATGAAATAGTATCTCATGGTGGGTTTGACTTGCATTTACCTGATGACTATTGGTATTGAGCATCTATTCATGTGTTTATTGGTCGTTTTTATATGTCCTTTGGAAAAATTTAGGTTCTTTGCCCATATTTTAACTGGATTATTTGTCATTTTTTTATTAATTGGGTTACAAGTTTTTTTATATAATCTAGACACAAGTTCTTTGTCAGATATATGACTTACAAATATTTTCTCCTACATTCTAGACTGTCTTACTTTCTTGATAGTGTTCTTTGAAGCAGAAACATTTTTAACTTTGATGAAGCCCATTCATCTATTTTTCATATCTAAGCATCAAATTGCTCAACCCAAGTTCATTGAGATTTACCTCTATATTTTCCTTTAAGACTTTTATAATTTTAGCACTTACATTTAAGGTGTTTCATAAATTT